TAAACCAAATATACTAATTTGATAAATAAGGGAGGGAGAGTTTCCTCTGGTTCAGCTGGATCAAAATTCTCAACTGCCTGCTGGTGCCATATGGCCTATGTAGAGACAAAAAATTGTCTCCAGCGTAGTCTATTCCTTTCCTCACTCGTTGCTTTGCCTTTGCAACTCAGAAAACTGCTGCCTTCCTCTCCTGCCCTCACTGCTCCTTCATATTCCTCTGAAATATTTCCCATTACCTTACTCCTACCATTTTTCAGATATCTTGCTTCACCCATACACACACGCACACACACACACACACACGCACACACACACAGAGGGCTTTTCCCTACCCTCCCTATACTGCTCTTAGCCCCTCATTGCCTGAAGTGGAACGAGGTGCTGGTACCCAGAAATGCTACCAGAAATGGGGAATGTGTGGCTGGATAATGTACATCCAGTGAGTGGGAAGCATTCTTGCTTCCAGAGAGCTCCCTCCTTAGATCTGTTTGGCAAAGAAAGCTGCTTGTATTGCACACAGGGGACCTGACTGATGGGATATCTGTAATAGTGCTGGAAAGAAAAATCCTCTGAGCCCTTTGCCATCCTTGCTGCAGAAGCTTGGTCTATAACTCTTGAATGATTTTGTTTGTCTCTGCCACAGGACATACAACTCCATAAAACTTACATTAATGTTCTTTGTAGAAATTTATATTATTAACTGATTGACAAAGTGTCACGTCTCCATCTGTTCTGAGAAAATATGGGGGCTTTGATATTATTTCCTCCCTGAACTTTTTCTTACCTGAAAGCAGAAATCCTGTTAAAATGTGTTAAGACACAGTTGGACTCATCTTCCTGTTCTACATTGCCAGTGATTTATGGAGAGACATGGAGTTTTGTGCTTTGAATAATCGAGTGACAAACTAAACAAGGAAACTGCTGTCCACTGAAGCAATGGGTGAGTCAAAAGATAGCCTGCATGATGGGCTGACCTGTTCTTTCATGTCTTCCGTGGAGTATTTTGCACTGAGTTCTCCAGAATTTTCTGTCATTGCTCAATATGTTTTTTTTCCCCACCTCCTGCTTCTTACCACAGTGTTTGATAGGTTAGGGCAGGCTCTTGGGGTTACGTATGCTAGGCATATATATACATGCACATAAATACACACAAATATACTATTTATGACCAGCAGGCATCACTGCCAGTTATCCTTTGCTGTGAGAACACACCTGGAGAAGGTAGGACATCAAATGCAAGTGCTATGTAGAGGGATTTGGTACTGGCATTTAGCAGTTATGTCTGGCTAGCACAGAATTAGGGTTTTCCAGGGGTTTGAAGGGAGTGTAACTCTATCACCATGTTAAGATGAAGCTGTCCTTTGGGATGAGATGGGGGTATTAGTTACACAATGCAGCAGCTGCTGCTGTGCTGTGCTCTGGAGGTGTTGAAGGGAAAGGCAAAAGTTTGTATCAGCAAACGTGGGAAGGGTGGGTGTGATGTAAAGCAGCTAGATGAGCCACATCAGCTGCCCTGCATGTCACAGCTCCGACACTTCTGCCTGCCAAGTGGTTGGCAACACAGGCTGGTGTTTTAGCTAACCCAGATTTTGTGCATCCTTGTTCTCTCACTTTTGCTGTTTAGAGCTGGTTTGGCTGATACTCGATCACTAAGTATTCTGCAGAGATCAGAAATTTCATCTGTCATTAGAGGGAGTTCTGAGTAGTCAGAATATCTAATATTGGGATGCTTATGAATAGGATGTTGTAACCTTAAGTGCTAAAGCACAGATCTTGAGTAAATGCTGTTTTCGTATTTCCACTGATTTTGATGTAGCTACGAAAATTTCCACAGCAAAGGATAGGTATTTTGAAATCTCATCCAGAGTCCTTAAAAGTGAATCTTTGGTCAGAGAGGTATTACTTGAAGTTCTGAAAGCCATCCAGGCATTTTTGATATAGACTTTTTGTTAAGAAAGCAGGTTCACTGCTTGACCTTGAAAATCTCAGCACCAGAAGGTGCTCATCAACTTTTGGGCCAATAATCTAAGCACAGGAAATGCAGGGAAAGGTCATCCACCTGTCTCTGTATTCATTCAATTAGTGAGAAAATGCAGTTCAGTGCTTCTTTTCAGGATATTTCTGTTTGCTTTAAAAGCCCACAGGAAGAGCAGGAGTCAGCTTTGAGGATTTTTTTTCTGAAATACAGCACTCTGTTTAATCAAAGACTAGAGGTTGTACCTGCAAGTGATGTTTTTATACTCTTTGTTTAGAGACTCATAAAGATTAACAAAGCCTAATATACTCACACTATCATTTTGACTAATGGCTGCTAATTTCTGTAGCTAACGTTCTGCTGTATTACATGAACGGTTGTAAAAAATGGCCCTGCATCGTTTGTTCTGCTCACCCTAAAATTTATTATTTTGCATGCAAACATTTACTTCTCTGTTCTACACAATCAGGAGCAGCACCTCAGCCCAGATTTGGATTGTCTTTGTTAAATCAGAAGAGCTGACCTCTGTCATCCCCAGGTTTACTCCTCAAATTGCCCACTGTCCAAGTGTTGCCTGAGGTAAATCCTCTCAGAGAATGAGTAAGAGGCTCTCAGAGAATTAATTCATGGTCCAGTTGCTTTTACAAAAAGTGAAGGATTTTCCATGGATTCTTCAGCTTCTCATTTCAGGACTTAGGGATGAGATATTTAAGATCTTGAGAAAGCTCAGGGGAGATCATAGGATGCTAATGCAGTGGATAGACTTAGATCAGATGGTAAATATGCTAACTAGGGGAATGTGCAAAGCATAGAGAATCAAATCCATTTAACCTACTGGCTCGTGGCTTCCCCCTAAAGATTTTAACCTCTGTCTGCTACACTTGGCTGCTTTCCCTTAGAAATTTTAATTGCTGGAAGAGACATGCACACACTCTGCTCCACCTGTGCAGGAGGACTGATTCAGTCTGGCTCAGTACCATTGATGACTGCAGTACAGGAATGTACAGCTGGATCTTGTGCCTGCTCATAAACAGGGCTGTGGCCAGGCAGAAGGTTAAACACAAGGTGGAACACTTGCTATCTGAGAAGTGACTGTTCATGACACACAAAATGCTTCATTGCATCTTTTGTTTGAAGATTTCCAGGTAATTTGGAAAAGAGTTTAAACAACACAGGTTCAGCTGGGAGGTTTTCAAAACATACAAATTAACATCATTGAGTCAACACACACTGTTACAGTCAGGGATGCTGGCTGAATTTCTTGAAAATGTTCACTGATTTAATCCTTAATTTTTGAAAGCATTGGTTTTTTCATGCTATCTTTGGGTTTCAAGACCTGTATATAAAACTTAATTCTTTTTCAAATAAATGCTAGAGTGAAGTGAGAACTGGTGAAAAGTTAAAATAGTTTTATCAGGCACTGTGAATACTCTGCACACCCAAAAACCAAGTCTCAAATGTTTGTTCTTCACTGTAGCTCAAAGTGTGCCAGTTGCTCTCCACTTCTTTTCCTGGGGAGCAGCAGAATGAGAAATTTTTCTTCATACATGTTTTGTCTCCCTATGTAAAGTGCAGCTGGTCTCCAGGCTGTTTTCTTCCTTTGTTTTTCTCTTAAATCTATCTCTGTCTGTTGCTCATGTTATTGCAGCCGTGAAGGCCAGTGGCTGTAAAAAGGGAGGGTTTGGAGGGAGAGACAGCATTTTTCATCTGGAGCAAAAGTAAGCAAGTTGTTAGGCAGTTAAATTCTTTTTCAGCTCTGAAATGTCTAGAGTACAACAGAAAACTGAATTTTCATTTCCAGCGTTATCTTTTGAAGATTTTTCTCTTGGTTGCCCTTGAGGGTCAAGCTTTGTGGATCACTTGTGGAGTGGGTTTATAACAAATGAGGACTCTGTGTGGTTGAACAGTACAATGTGTGGTTGTTTGTTTTCTCACAGGGACTGCTGCTGACCTTCAGCTCTGATGGGAGTAACAATCAACTGGTGCCTAACTGAGACCAGCATCCTCGGGTGCCTGGGGCAGGGATTTTGAGTCCCAAAGAGCTTCCTGTGTGGGGGAGCCTTCCAAATACTGTATCATTATGGCACATAAACCATTTCTTTAACTTTGCATCCTGGTTAGTTTTTTTTCACATACTAGTTTTTTCATTTTGTTAGCACTGATGGAAGTGATTTTCCTACTGAGATTTTAGTCATGATTTCTCCCAGCAAGCGGTGGTGCAAATCTTTAACATAGCTGCTAATATTAAAAAAAGGCCTAGGACATCACTCTCTGGTGTTTTTACTGGGGGGATGAGAAACATCTGTCTTGAATGTTACAAGGAAAAAAATACCTCAGCATGCAATTTCATGTGTGAATCTGTGGTGTTCAGCAAGATGGAATGTGAACTCTTGGGGAAGATCATATCATTCTCCAAAATGAGGCAAAAAGGGCAAAATAGCTATCATAGGAGTGTGAGTCGTGGCTTTCTAAAACCTAACGTATTCCATTTTTTCTGTTAGCCTTTGTTTTATCTTGCTTTTTTTGGGGGGGTGGGTGGGGAGGGGAAATAAGAAATATCTTCATGCCAGAATGTGATTGAATTAAGACTGTCAGTCATGTTGCAACACGTTATGAAAATATCCTGGAGAGCCTAAAATAGTTCAGAGAGAGACATAGAACAGCCATGTGTATGGCTTCAAAGCTCTGGTAAAAGTCAGTTGGGTCACTTGTTTTGATTTCACTGAGATCTACAGTGATGTTAAGGCCTTGAAAATGCAGTGATAAGTGCTCAGTTAGAATTGGATGAGCCCCCACTTCTCCTGGGAATGCCACTGTTCCTACCTGCCCCTGCTGACTAAGAAGACAATTTTAAAAGTCAGGATTAAATTTACTTTTTATACTTACTTCAGTTGTCAGGAATTCTTCTGAAAAGACACGCCTCATCTGAGAAAACCAAGAATTTCCAGCAGAACCGTGCAGTGTCAGATCCCTCCAGAATCCTCAGTGGAAAAAAAATTATCCTGGTGTTATTGGAGACATCAGCATGCCTTTTCTGCTGTGCTTGAAAAAAAAGAAGTCACCTGTGCCTTTAGGCAGGAGTGTCTTTCAAAAACACACCCCTCCCATCCAGCAGAACTACCAGGCTTTGCTGGAGTCGTGCTTGAAGAACAAATGCTTGTTCACAGATGACACCTTCCCTGCTCACATCAGCTCCATTGGAACAGGAGCACTGCTAAAGAAACTGCCCCACAATTTACAGTGGAAGAGGCCACACGTAAGTGACTTTCAGTGAGTACTGTGTGTAAGAGGATGATTACAGATGATAGCCAGCAAATAGTTTTAGCACTGAAGAGACTACTCTTAGAATTTAATTTAGGTGTACTTTAATGTCTCTGGGGATTACTTTTATTGCATCAGGTGTCATTTTGGAAGCTGGGGTACATGGAATCTCATAATTGCCTTTGAAGCATTTGTTTCCCAAACTCATAACCAGCCTTGTTCAGTTTATATCCAGTAACACTTGGAGCAGGCAGGGAAAGGAGGAGAAGGAAGCAGGGAGAGTTGGTTTCCTTGGAGCTCACAGCTACAGTGATCTCACTGTGATTCTGTGATGACAGATGAGATCCTTCTCCCCAGAATTCAAGATCATGACCTTTTAGAAGATTTCTGAGTTTCTAGAAAGTTCTTAGCAATGACCCCTCTCTGCCATGGATCTCATACTGTTATGATGCTGGAGGCTGCTGCTTTCCCAGACAGGGCAGGTGCCTTATCCTCTTGTTAGGCTGGGTTTTTTTCCCCTGCTTAGTCTATTGTACTTGGAATAATCTTTCCTCAGCTCTCAAGGCTGAGCTTCTATCACAGCCAGTGACTGAGCATCAGTCTGTGAGTTGGTTTTCATTTGGGGGCCTTTGTTTTCTACTTGTGCTCAAATTTCCAAGGCCTTTGCTGGCATTGCAGGTTTAAACTGAACATTGCAAGAGACACCCAGGTGCAAGGGCTGGTCACAGAGCATGTTCTCATAACAAAAGGGAAGATAACAAGTGTGGGAGGCCAGGACAGGGGCCTGGCACAGTTAGATAAGGCCTGTTACTAGCAATGCCAGTTCTGCTCTTACTGAGCCACTGAGCAAAGTATTGACAATCAGATCCTCCTGAAAGCATTGTACAGAATTATGTGAGAATTTCAGAATTCCTTATCTGTAGGGAATTCTGCCAGGTAATACCAGATACATCTCCCTAAGTTAAGTTATTTTCTAGCTGTCATATTTTGTGAGATTTAAACAATTTCCCAGAAGTATCAAGTTTCTGAAAAAAAAAAAAAAATTAGTCAGCACGAGTCCTGGCTTCTACAGAGCCCTTCAAGTGTCTCCCCAACCCTCAGATATTGGAATGGACTTGAAACCTTCTCTGTGTCTCAGTGGACTATTCTGCTGCTCTGCTATGGTTGTTGTGGTCTCCTGTGTAGGTTCAGGAGTTGAACTTGATGATCCTGATGGGTCCTTTCCAACTCAACATGTTCTGTGATTCTATGAGTCTAAAACTGCCTTGTGAAGAAGGCTGCTGTTCGTTCTGGATGCCAAACTTTCTGAGCAAAGACTCTCTGAGAAGGGATGCTGTGCATCCTTCAGTCCCTGTGCTGCAGAGGAGATGCTGAGATTCTGCCATTCAGCCTGCAGGCTTGTAGCTTACTGCATCTATGAGTGATGGCCTGCAAACTGAACACCCAAACTCACCAAGGGCAGGGCTTGGTGTCTAATTACTGTGACTGCCTCCTGAGGGAAGCTGTTTCTTTGCTACTGCCTGCAGGGGAAGCCAACAGTGTGAAACTTAGCTTGAGCAATTTCTGGGTCATTCAAGTAAAATATAATTTTGACACTTAGGTTATTAATTTAACCCCAGAGGCACTTGTGAAGGGAAAAAAAAATCACCACATTATTTCTCTCTGTACAATTATTCACAGACATGTTCTTGTCACAGCAACAGGAATTCTGCAGCAGCCATCAGTCTGTAGCTCAATTGTCAGTCAAGCTGTGGAGATGTCAGCCAGGTTGGGTGAAAGTTTGATGCTCTGGCCTCATAACCTCTTTTGGCTGGCCCTTGTGTGGAGGAGCAGGACTGGCAGATTTGAAGGGTTGTCTTCTCAGCATGGTGACCGTGGAAATCCATGGTGGTGCATCTGAGCACCAGTGACTTTTGCTGGAGTCCAAACTGGGCGTAGATGAGCACAAATGTGTGCCCAGGCTGGTGTCAGGTTAACCAGAGCACATAACAATAGATTTATACCTGAGCCAGAACAATGTCTGCTGGGACAAAGGACTCTCAGTATTTTAAAAGCTTTAACTTTCAAGCTAAACCATCTCATGTTACTGGCTTAACTCTCTCCTTCTTTTTTTTTTTTTTTTCTTTGCTTTCCTTTCCATTTTGTGCTTCCCAGGCTTTGCACAAAAGTCCCGTATTTTATGCTGCACACAGAAAGCAGCCTGATCTCTGCCAAGGATTGGTGGGTAAGGAAACTCCTTTGTATAAATATCTAAGTATTCACAAAATAACATTTTGCATGGAAGTTTGAATGTATAAAACTTGGCATGGAGATAGAAGGTATCCATCTCCTCTCTCCACTTGGCATGGTGTGGATGAAGCAATCATTTACTGGCGTAGGCTCAGTAAATAAGCTGGCAAGCTTCAAGGTGGGATTTGAGACATGAGAGGTGTCTCTACCAGCTGAAATCCCCACTGTGTGTTGTTTCTGCCCATGCTAATAGGAAGTGTTCCTGTGCTCTTACTGGTCTGTGGTGTTGTTGCTTGACAATTGAACAGAGACCACAGAGGGGCTTTCTATTTGTACCTAATGCGTGTGAGTGTGTTCTCTTCTCAGCCTTGCTGTTAGAAAAATAATTTTATGCCTGTTTGAGCATCAGTCTATAATAAAAGACTATATTGCCTTCTGAAAAACAGGTAGATGTGGGACTAAATTAGTTTTTAAGTGCTTTATGTCCTTAAAACCAAAGTTTGCTAAGTACAGTCTTGCATGTGAGATCCACTGGAAATTATTTTATTTTCTGAAAAGCTAATGTTTTCAAAGAAAAATGGAAAAGTTTTTTTTTTTAATAGTGTGCCTTTATAGAGAACAGAAAAAAACCCCACGCAATGTCAGTAAAACACAGAATGTTTCTATTGACAGTGATTGCTTGCTAAATTTCTTATTTAACCAAACAGTACCCAAATGGAAAGATCATGAGAGAGCAATTATAAACCAATCACGGTTTGGTTAAGTAAAGAACATGTCTGGATCATCTAATTTTGTGTGTATGATTTGTTATAATTGTAAAGACATCAGCACAACAGCTCTTTTGCTGGGATTGTGGTGGTGTTGCTGAACTTGGCTGAGAGCTCTCACTTTTCAGCCAACTGCATGTGTCCATTTGTCTTGGCACAGAGAACTGCTGGTTCCTGGCGGCCCTGGAAGCCCTGACATTCCACCAGGACATCTTGGCTGCAGTTGTGCCACAAAACCAGAGCTTTGAGAGGAAATACGCGGGCATTTTCCACTTCCGGGTACAGCTGCTCCCCCAGATTGCAGGAGATCCTCAGATATCCTCTGCTGTGTTTTGTGTCACACCCTTAGATAATTTGTACGTGGTTCCCTTTGGCCAGGGGCAAGTGGCCAGAGGGTATCCCAGTCTGGAGAGGAGCCCATCACCCCTCCCACAAAGTTGTACGGGCAGTGAATCAACTGCAAGCCACTGAGGAAACACCTCTGCTTGGCTGCTCTCTCCAGCTGTGTCCTACCCATATTTTAAAGCAAACAAAACCTTTTTTCAAGAGTGGCAACAGTCAGCAGGACCTGAGCACATCAGCTCCAGTCTTCTACCCCTTTGCCCACCTCTTGGTACAACTCTGCTACCTTGCAGTTAGGAATTCCTTCCTCATAAGTCCACCTGTGGCTAGTTTGGTTTTACACCTGATAGAAGCTTTGTTTACTCCTCTGGCTGGGTGGGGCTGAGGAACTGGCTCTGTGGGTGAGTCAGCACGTCCCACTGACCCACAGCAGCTTGTTCTGTACCCACAGCTAGGCTATCTTGCCTTTCCTGTTGTTTCAAGGGGAGGTCCCTTCCAAGGGAAACATCAGCTCATTCCTTTCCCCTGACAGTTCTGGCACTTCGGGGAATGGATTGACGTGGTGGTTGATGATCTCCTGCCGGTGAATGAGGCCGGGGAGCTGCTCTTTGTTTCCTCAGTCTATAAGAACGTGTTTTGGGGAGCCCTTCTGGAAAAGGCATATGCTAAGTAAGTGACTCATTTCAAGTTATGCAAATAGTCTCTCTAAAATATGTTGGTTGGTGCCTACGCAGTTTGTTCGTGTTTATAAATGCATCTCCTAGGCCTTGCTACATTTGGAGTGTAGTGGATGGCTCTCATCTATCTATTATTACACATAAAAGCTGCCATTGCTGTTATGTTATGTTGTAACAGCTGTTATCAAACCAGGTCCTTGAGTTTAAATCCAAGGGTTTAGGTGAGAAAACAGCCCTATTGTGGGGGGTTGTCCTCTGAGTGTTATCATTGTTTGCAGTGTATTGGCTGAGGCTGATGCCTTCCTTGTAAATATCACCTTGTAAATGGAACACCATAGATAGACATTTTCAAATGTGAATGATTTCCAAAGCCTCCTTTAATGTATTATCAGTGTGAGAAACCTCCAAGGATTTTCATTTTGGAGGTGTGCTGAAGCACTGCACTTTGCTTTGGCAGATGTTTTTGCTCTCAGGTCCTGGAAGCTAAGGCACATCGCCAGTCATATGGCATGGTGAGAGCAGTGGCTTCTCTCCAGGGTGTTTTGTCTACAGTGGTAGTATCAGCACAAAGAAGAAGGCTGCAAGGCCTAACTGATGGAGTTTGTTAATATTTGGCTGAAATAATCTTTACAGAGCAGGGGAAAACACTCTAGTTAACACTGAGAGAAAGATTACACAAAGGTGAGAATGTTCAGTTATTTTCATTTGGTGTTAGTGTTAGAATGAAAAGACTGGGCCAAGTTGCACTGGAGTGATAAAGAAAATCAGATTAGAGACTAAGCTCTCAGGACAGTGTCTCTCAAGGCACTGTATTTTAGATACAGCACAGTGTCTGGTGATAAATTCAGGCAACATTCTCTAAGGCAGAGTTATCGAAGAGTTGTGATGGGCATGTTCTCATTAGAGTGCAGTCAGGGATGACAGCTAGTGAAGAGTCCCTTTCAGACTATGGCCAGTCTTGGAGGCAATTTTGTAGATTCTCCTCTTCCCAAATGCCAAAAATTGCCTTAAAATGAAACATGATTTACAGCCTTCCTTTTGCTTTTTGTACACTTTTTTTTTAATGTTTTCATTGGCAACCTCAACCTGTCATTTGTGATGATAACCCAAAGAATATATTGATGTCCTTTTTTGCTAGACTCTATGGCTCCTATGAAGATCTGCAGATTGGGCAAGTTTCAGAAGCCTTGGTGGATTTTACAGGGGGTGTCAATACAAGGATCAAGCTTGCAGAAGCTCCTCCTGATATGTGGGATATACTGACAAGAGCCACCTACAGCAGATCTCTCATGGGCTGTCAGACACACTTAGGGGTGAGGTTTGGAGTGATGTCAAAAGGCTTTACAGCTAAAAACCTTTCCAGACCCGTCTCCCTCTGCTCAACTGGTCATTGTGACTCAAAATGTATCAAAGCTGCCCTATGTGACTTTCTGTAGAAGTCACATTCTTCATGTTAAACTTTGCTCATGGATTGATTCCCTGATGCTCTCAGCTCCACGTTGTAATGTTTAGGAACTGGTTTATCTATCAAAGAAACTCTATTCAATAGGGATCTACTGCATTTTCCCATTTTTGTTAAATAAATTTTCCATTTTTACAGATGGTGCAGTGAGGTACAGACACGTATGGAATAAAGTTATAGCTAAGGTAGAGACATGGATCATTCAGAGCATGAATTAAAGTCTTGGCTTCCAAGCTTTATGCTACCACCTCAGCTGTTGGGAAACTCTGCTTTTCTGAAAATCAAAAGCTAACTTCCTGGACTTCCTTAAAGTGACATGGTCTCTAGCTGAAGACCCACAGTTTAGGAAGGGCCATTAACAATCAACCTTCCAAGTCCAAGCATACTGAAAACTCTGGCTCTTAGGAGGTCCCATTTATTTATTTATTTTCAGTTTTCCTGTTACTTTGAAAGTCACTGCTTACACAAGTACAGGTCTCTGGTATTGTTATAAGTCTGCTGTATGAGTAAGGATAGAATAAAAGGTTTCTTTTCCTTCTGTTTCTTGTATACAGACAACAAAGGTCCTGAAGAATGGGCTTGTTGCTGGCCATGCCTACACAGTAACTGGTATTAGAAAGGTAAGACCAGCCCAAATGTCCTGGGTCCAGGTTAATTTAGATATTAGCAATTTTTATTGCATTCATAGGTTCAACCATTGATCAGAGCAACTATAGTATCTCCTCCCCAATACTCTTTTCTTAGTCTAAGGCTACAAGAGACTGTGGGCTTTGTTAAGATTCACATTTTAAGTGTGTCCATTTTAATTGGGAGGCCTAGATGTAAAGGACAATTGTTATGGATCAGTGTATCTCTAAGGGTTGGAATGATTCATAGGGCTCTGCTGACACCATCACCTAGAAATGCATCTTAGCTGTTAAGAAGGAAAGGACTGGTCTTTGGGACTGCTGGGAGGATGTGCTGAAACTTGGGATGTGCTTTTTCCTTGGGGTAAAAAGTCTTCCTCTGAAGCCAGTGGAGAGGCCATAGAGAAGTAAGTATGTAAAGGCCAAAATCTGAAAAACTGCAGATAGAAATGTGAGTCAGGGGTGTGGATAAAGGGAACTGACCTGTGGTCCTGTGCAGACAGTGCAGGGGGACCCCACTAATCTGCAGAAGTACTGTTTGGGTGGATGACTGTCTTGTCCAGCCTCAAGAGGAGGTTGACAAGGATGGCAAGGACTGTGTGGGGCTTTGGAATTTTGGTGAAAGCATGTTCAGTACCTGTAGCAAGAGATACGAGGAAGGGCAGAAGAGATGAGCTGGATGAGGCACATCTGTGTCTTCCACAGGAGGAACAGGAGGAGTTTATGTGTGGAGTCATTCAACAATGTGTCTGTCAGTCTGGCTCCTCTGATGAGATGAAGAGCCAGGCAACCTTAGGAGACTGACCAAGCATGTGGAAACAGTGTGAAGTCAGCTGTTCTGCCGTGTGCTGTCAGCAAAGCCCCTAATTGGCCTCTCCTCCCACCATGGCATCCCAGTTCAGGAAGCATTAATCTGTGTGGTCACCCATGGGGGCTGCATTGTGCTGTGCCATTGCACTGGGGTAGGACTTGGTTTTCACACAAGTACAAAATGAGCAGATGTTGAAAAGGAAGAGGAATTTACAGTCAAGCCTTTAGATTAAGAATCTGGCATGTCTCTGGTTTCAGCTTAGAATGTAAGATGAAGCACCTTAATCTCTTTGTTGTTGGCATTTAGAGCTGCATGTTCAAAGATTTTTAACATCATACTTGCTGGCATCTATAGAACAAACAAAATTGTTGTTAATATCTGACATAGCACAATGATATTAACCAGATGAGAACTGCTGAGACCTTGGTAAGCACAATGTTACTGTTTTCTGCAGGTGACCTGTCAATATGGACCAGAAAACCTAGTGAGACTGAGAAATCCATGGGGAAAAATTGAGTGGAAAGGAGACTGGAGTGACAGGTGAGTTTACAAAAGGAGAGGTGTGACACTGAGCAGAGGAAAGCTTTCTTGGAGGAAAGATGCTGCCACCTTCAGGCATGAATTAATGTTGAGGGCAGCAGTAAGATGTGCTCGCTTGCACAGACCTTCTGGTGTCAAAGCAATGACTCCATAGATTTATGTGTCTCCAACAGACAGTGCTGCTGTAGCTGGCCTCACTTCACACATGCAGCCTCAATCAGATCAGTTCTACTTCTCCTTTCACTAATGCCAGAGGAAACATAATATGAACATGAGATGCTGACCACCTTGCTGTGATGTGGAGAGCATACAAAGGGACAGATAGCTATGCAGAGGCTCTAAAAAACCCCCATGTTTCAGGACACAGTTGTTTATCATGGGAGGGCCCAGGAAAAATCTTCCACAGGCTGCAAGGTGTTAGAACTGGATAACTAGGAAGGAGTTCTCAGTCCTGGCTGCTCGGGTAAATACAGTTGGGCATGAGATCAGAGGAGGTAGTGAGGTAAATGGGCTCCATATTTGCATCTACCTGATTTTGTTTTTTAATTGGGACCCATGAAAGACAGTGGTTTGCATTCTAGACCATGGGCAACTGTAAACTTGTGTCCTGTTCTTTGAAGAGGAGCATGTTTCTTGCTTCCAAGCTTCACTTCATTCCCTGCACAGGCTGATTGCTGAGGCTCAGGGCATAGAAAGGAGGGAAGAGTAGAGAGGTCAGTGGGAATGTGAATGGCTTTCACCTTGTCTGCAGAGCAGTAACTTCTCTGATGCATGTCTGTCACATAATGACAACACACCAGCTGTTCTGTTGAAGAGCATAATGAGCAACATACTGCAGGCCTGCCTTTGAAATGACTCCCAGCTGCCTCTTGTGCTGTCCTAGTCATTCATTCATTATGCCAAACACTCTTCCTATTATGTCTCCTTTAACAGAAAATTAACCAACAAAGCGGGTCTAGATTTTTATATTTTAAGTACTTGGAAGTTGTGTGTTCAAGTGAAGGGAGTGGCTGATGGAAATGGAACATTTCTGGCTTCTACTGCAGAAAACTGGACCCATTTAGCTACATCTCACGGGACCCAGGGTGGTCGTGGAGAGTCTCGTGTAGCTGAAGGCATAGTGGGGATAAGCATGGAGATATGTAGAGACAGGAATTTGGCCTCTTTTTATAGAGGAAGGTTTTGTCCTCTGCCATGAATTTGTGGCCACATTTGGTTAGTCACCTCATGTTTTTCCCCTTAGCTCTTACAAGTGGGAGCTGCTGAGCCCGAAGGAGAAGATTTTACTGAGGAAAAAGAAGGACGATGGAGAATTCTGGTAATGGCACAGTCTTGCCTCTCCCCTCTGTGCCAGTAGCCCTGGGGCTGCACCTGGAGCTGAAGCAGCACATTGCCACTCAGGCCAAGGCAGAGGTGATGAGTTTACAGCAGCCCCTGCTCCTCTCAGCTTGATGCTGTGAGAAGCAGTGGCTGTGCTGACATGGAATGAACTGTTCTTCAGTGCAGGGTGAGGGAGAAGCAGGACATTGCTAGGTCTCCTAGACCCTGCTGGAGATAAAGGGCAGCCCCAGTAGCTTTTATCCTTTTTTTTTTTGTTTGTTTGTTTGGTTTTTTTACCATAAGTTCGGGAAGCTCTTGTTTGCGTGTTCGTCTGCGGTTTCTGCACAGCTTTTGCCACGAGGTGGCAATGTTGCCGCCCCTGTAATTTCACTGCACTCCCTTCGCTGTCAAGATTGTTTTATTCTCTGTTTCTGCTATCCTTTGCTGAAGTTTTAGTCGTGCATTAGCTACTCCTAGATGCTGCTGTGGAAGCAGACGCTCTCTTCTTTACTGCCTAATAAAATATGAGCATTACCATATGTAACACAGAATGGTGTGGCTTCGAAGTTCCTCACTCCCTTTTCTTTCCATTTTATGAGCCATATGGACTAAACTAAACTGCTGACAAGATGTCTCTTGGCACTCTTTTCCCAGGATGTCTCTGCAAGATTTTAAGATTCATTTTGTAGATCTGGTGATCTGTAAGTTAACTCCAGACCTGATGAGCCAGGAAGATGGGAAAAAGTGGATGTACTCCTTGAAGAGTGGGAGATGGGTTAAAGGAAGTACAGCAGGAGGAAGTCTGGGATTCTGTAACGGTGAGGGGTGCCCTTGTGGATAACTCTGACTTTTGGATGTTCTCAGTTACCAGCTCCTTATAACCTCTAACATAAAATTGATAACAGAAACATGCACTTTCTGTTTATGCCTCCACACAAACATCAGAAATGAGCAGCTGAAGGACTTTGACTGGCTTCTGCTATCACAGAAGATGCACTGCTTGCAAACATAGGGCAGTGGGCTGATTATAGCATGAAATAAGCTTTAGGATCCCAGGATCAATTGCCAGTACTGATCTGCTCTAGGGCATAAAACTTGTCTGTTAAAATTTGCCTCCTCAGCACCTCCAGGGAGTGTGTTTTAAGTAAAGTGAATAAAATAGTCAGAGGCTCAGCTCTTCTGGAAGCAGAGCAGGTGGAGTCTAAAGTCAGCTAGCCTATACACTAGGGGTGAGAGAGGAATAGTGATACATTTATAAACAAAATGAGCTCTTAGCTTCGTGTAAGCAGAAGTATAGTTCCTTGTTCATGGGTCTTTCTCCTGTTTCAGATAGTAGTTGAAATGCTGAACTTGTAAACTGCACATTAAAATCAAATTCCTGTGGGGTCTGGAGATCCAGACAACCTGGAGATCCAGACCTGTTCAGTCCAGTGCCAGGCATCATGTGGGAAGCTGGCAATCAATTTTGTGATGGAAAATTACATCAAAATGTTTTTCTTGTTTTACTTAGGCAACTTTTGGATGAACCCTCAGTACTGGCTGAATGTGTTGCCAGTTGAAGACAGTAAGAAAAGCCCAAGTACATGCAATGTGGTTATATCCCTCATGCAGAAACACAGCACCAAACACCGGAACCGAGCCCCTCACCTTTTCATTGGATTTTTACTCTATAAGGTGCAAAGAATTGCTTCACTTTTCTTGCTCTCACCAAACAGGAGAGAAGAGCACTACAACTTCCAGTCCCTGCAGATTGTAGTGCTCTTCAGGCCAAGAGTTTTTATTGTGTGCAGGGTGATCTCTGCTCTTTCCTCCTGCCTGTGCCTAGTCTCCTCACACATCAGGGCTGGGCTCCCTCAGGCTCTGTGCCTGCTTGCTGCCTCTCCAGCATGCTGTGTGTCACCCTTCAGAGCAGTGAGAAGTGCCTTTTGCTTCAAAGCTCATTGGGATTTATTTTGCTGCCTCTGAGGGTATGTGCAATAGCTGGAACAGGGTGCCAGGAGTCCCCTTTCTTTGGGGTAGGGAGAACTCTGCCCTCAGGTTATTTCCAATCATGGTAAAATTGTGCCTAAAAAGTGTTCCTAGTATGATGTGGCAGCTGCTCACATGTGCATGCTGCTACCTCCCCATGTACCCAGAGGTGAGTGGATATCACTAGGAGTGAGAGTTTCCTACCTTCAATTCTCTGCTTATCTGAGTACCTTGAGGGCCACTCTTCTCCCCTGAACAGAGCCACAGGTCTTGTTGCTGCTGTAAGCTTGCACAGTTATGGAGAGGCAACTGTGGGGAAGGGTTTTTGATTTCTGAAGGCAAAGACCCCATATAGATGTTTGTAGCTGCTCTGCTTCCAAAGAATGACTTGGCTGTGTTTGGTGAGGCACAGAGGTCCTGACTGACAGATGTTTCTTTTCTTCCTGCAGGTGGGCCTACAGGTGAGTCCCTTGTCACCACTGCTGGCTGTCGTTTGGGGGACCTGGCTGGCACAGCTGTTAAGACAATGCTGAATGTGGTGTGTTTGCCTTTGCTCCTTGGCTGACAGCAAGTGACAGTATTTGAACTCAGTGAGGCACCACAGCAAGGCACTACTAATGCAGAACCATCCTCTGAGTCTGCTGAAGAGCAGCCATATCAGGAGAGCTCATTGGCCTTGAGAGTGGGCATTAGTTGTTCAGCTTCTGTCCTGGGTCTTCAAAGGTATTAGAAGTAGCATCAGCCTTTACCTGATGAGCACTTCAGCCCTGCTGCAGTTGTGGGATGTGCCCCAATTCTTGGCTGTGGTGTGGGAGTCAGAGCTGCCTTTCTGCTGCCTTCCAGTCTTGGCATGAGGTGGGAAAAGAGCCTGTGCCCCATGCAAGTGAAAGATCTCCTAGGGAGCTCAGGTTCCTGGCTGTCTGATGGTACAGGTGTTTTCAGCTTCTTCAGGTCAGCTGCATTTCTAGCATTTTCTTTATCCAAGAGCCTTTGGGACCTGAGAAAGGCCCTGGAACTTAAATCCTGATTAAGTCTTGATTTTGGCCCTGACCTCAGAGTGCTATTTAAAACAGAGAAAGATTTAGCTTGTATTGTCTTTAAAGGGCATATCTTCCCCTCTGTTACTACTCAAATGACAGTAGACCTCTTAAATGAGAACTTGGGCTGGCAAAGAGCTAGTTTGGGTATATGATATGGGCAGCACAATTGTGTTCCTAGTTATGGTAGACCCAGTATGGTAACCATGAGATAAGATGCCACTCCTTCCTGACTTAAGTACCTTAGGCACCATCAGGGTTACATTCAAGGTAAACTTTTCTGGCAGAGGGGGTCTGAGTGTGGCCTTAGCACAGAGCTCTGCCACACCTGAGTGGGAATGGTGGCAGCCAAGGCTTCAATTTCAGGTTTGTAGTGGTTGCCAAGATCAATATGGAGAGATGGCAAGCTGAGAGCATCTGAGGTATTGGAACTGCTGTCAGCAGAGTATTGACTGGAATATAAAAACTGAATTTAACATAAGGGGCATGAGGAGGAGTAACCCTGAACCCTTCAGAAGAAAGATTGCCCTACTAGTAAGAAAAATACTGGCAAAGAAAGAGGAATAGCATCTCCCCATGAGGCTGCAGAGTAAAATGGCTAAGTGTTTTGAGGAACAGCCAAGATCAGAAGGTGACAGTAGTTTTAGCTAGCAGGATTATTTATTGGGATTGTGTACTGGGCACTCAGTGGCATTAAAATTAGTTTCATGTTGCCTGGATCAACACTTTATCCATCATCCTGTGGCAGAAAAGGGCCTGCAGAGCTAAGAGTGCCAGACAGATCAAGGACACTTGCATGAAGTGAGGATGAGGGCTTAGGTTGCTCATGCAGTATGCTCAGATCACAGGTGTTCTGAAAAATCCTCTGCTGCCAGATCCCTTGTGCAAAGGACAAGCTGGGGACAACATACATGGTCCCTGTGGGAAAAGAGGTGTTCTGGCTAGTGAAGGGCAGTCTCTAGAGCAGTTCCTTCCTGCAGTCATTTTAGCCCATATGGCAAAGACTTTTGCAGAAGCCACATTGACAAGAACAGCTTCTCGTCCCCAGTTCTTGCTGCTGTTCCTTACAGGTAGTGTAAGTTTTTTTTGTAAGTTGCAGGAAGCCCAGTCTTTTGCCATATCAGTATTGGGCAAGGGTGCTGCATAGTGAGAACCACCATGTCCTGGGAAGAGACTGAGTCCTTTGGGCTCTGTTTACAGCCCTGCTTGTGCTGTAAAACAGGCTGAGATGTGAAGGCAGGCTGGCTGTGCCTTGCCTGTGAATCTTCCACATGCCTTTGGTCCACGTGTTCAGCTGCAGCAGAACACAATTCTCTTACCTTTCTTCCCTGAGCAGTACCAGGAGAGCAACAGAAAGCTGCCCCCGGGTTTCTTCGCCCGACATCAGCCTGTGAACAAGCACCAGGTTTTCCTTGATGAGCGGGAAGTGACTCATGACTTCCATCTGGAGCCTTGTGTCTACGTGATTGTCCCATCCACCCTGGAGCCTCAGCAGGAGTCTGAGTTCATCCTGCGGGTCTTCTCCAGGAAGCACATTCTTCGGTGAGATGCTGCTCTGCCAGCCCCTAATTCCCTGGGAAAGTCTGGTCTTTCTAGTCTAATGGGGGCAGCATAAAGACTTCACTCTGCAAAAAGCAGCACTGTCTCTTTTAGAGAAGGTGGCTCTGGATTTCTCCTGCTGTAGGATTCTCAGTGGTTCAAGCACTGGTTTTGCCTTATCCTTTCAAAAAAGGCTGAGATAGACCCACACTATCCTTGCAACATGTACATGTTTGAGACTATGAGAAGGATAGGAGTTCTTCAGCTTTTTAGCTCCTTTAGTTTGCCAGGAACTCCCTGCTGACAATGCTAGGATGGTTGCTTGTACAGAAATGGGTGTTTTGGATACTTCAAATGCCAGCAGCTTTTGGGGTCCTGTATGGATATGAGGCCTTGCCTTACTGCAGCTGTAACACCAGAGAATGGAACACACAGCAAGAGCAGGCTGGAGCCCCATCCAAGGAAGAGGAATGGCACCTGTGGTGAGACACACAACTCTGAGATCTGTCCTTAATGTGTCTGCTTTTTTACATCTCCAGGGAAATGGGCGGGAACACGAGCTTCACTCTCTCTAAGGTGAGGGGAATGGGGGGTCTGTGGTTCAATCTACAGCTCTGAATGTTGGGCTTTTACTGTTGCTCTGCCCTAGAGGAGAGGCTGAGTGAGAATGACAATGCTTGTGTTGCAGCACTTGGAAGCACAGCTTGGGTTTACAGACAGAATCCTTTGGGGACAGATGCAATCAAATGTGGGGGACAGGCAAAACTTTAGACAGCTTAGTTGCCCTTTTTGCAAACATCTTTTAATGACACCATCTTGCTTGCTCTAAAGTCTTTCCTGTTCATGGCTTTTTGGAGACTCATGGTCCATTCTTGCACTTCTCCCCATCCCTTTCAGGCCTTAAACATTTTGAAGACGTTATGGGACCTTAGCTCTACTGTTCCTATGCAATGGCCTAAAGATTATTTTCAAAAGAACTAGTCTCAGTGGCAGTGCATGCACATCTGCAGCTTGTGCTAGGAAATTTGTGGCATAGTCTGTTCCCCTGGCATAAACAGGGCCTTTCCTGCTTTCATCTCCTCTGTTGGGCTGTATAAAGGAGAAGAGGGACCCTTCTGTCTTCTTGGCACAGAGTGAGCCCCATGCTTTGCACAGCTTGGGGTGGGATGAGAGGAATGTTTCTCCCCACTAAATGTTATCTGAGTATTTCTCTCCAAGAAGTAGCAGTTCTGTGATGCAGCAGCAGGCTGTATTAGTGAGGCAATACTGATTGCAGTGGTGGGCAGGGGGTGGAAGGGGCAGGGAGTGGAATGCCATGCTGGGAAAGCATCTTTAATAATTTGGTTGACAAAATTTTTCTTCTGCACGTTAATTATTTTTTTGATACCTTAAAGGAAATTGTTGATAGGTATGAAGGCAAGATTTGGGAGGATTTCTTCACAAAGCATTTTGAACAGGTAAGTGCTTTCCTGAATAAACTCCTGCAGAGCTGTTATGTAGCTCTGTTCAAGGGAGGTCTGTGGATGTGTGGGGAGCAGAGAGGGGCTATGCAGAGGGGGTTGGACTCTGTGTACAGTGATGGCTCCACGCAGCAAATTTGCTGAAGCTTAGCAATGTGATAGCATTGAGACAGGCACAGTTCTCTGCACAACAGGGTGTCAGTGCCTGGAACTTAATGGGAATGTGACAGTATCAAGAGGCTCAAAAGGCATTAGGAAACTGATGGGCAGAAAGTCCATAAACAAATGCTAAAGGACTGAGCAGGGATGTACCCTCTAAGATCACTTTTCCGACAGGGAAACAGCAGAATGGACTACAGAAGCTGACCAGGCTAACGTGCTCTCCTTAAACATTAATTCCTGTTGCCTGTACTGGGGACAAAGTGATGGGCTGTGTGGCTCCACCCTATTCTTTGGGGCATTCTTACATTCATTGGGGAAAGCTATCTATTAGAGAACACCCCTGAAATATTGAACCTTGTCTCGCACATACTTCATCACAGTTGGATGGCAACTAACCTGCTTTGAGATGTGAAATAGATATTGGGTGTCCCATCATCTTCCCCCCCTAATTTTCCTAGTGAAATATGATCCTTGCTGTGAAAGATTCTTTTTAGTGATTTCTCTGGCCTGATTTGGGATGGAGCTGACCGTCAGGGATCCCACTAGCTGTCATGAGGGATGCAAGTGTTTCACCTTTCAGAAGGGTCACTGCATTTATTTAGTATCATACCCTGTATTTGGCAAACATAATTTCACAAAAAAACAGATTTATACTTTTAATTGGAATATTTTGAAGGAAGCTGTTACTAAAAACAAGGAATGCTTTCACTTTTTGCCCCTTGTTTAAGATTTTGGGTTTGAGAATGGTGTGGCTTTGATGTGCTAGAAATTGCCACATACTGTGAGGTGCTGGTCCTTTGCTGTCAAGATGTCCAAGTACACACAGAGGCAGAGGCACCTACTGCCATTTCTGAAGGCTTTACCCTGGCATCTCTCAATGATCTGAAAGCAGGCTTTTATTTTTGAAGAGTGACATTTAAAAAAAAAAACCTCCAAACAAACCATTGTCACAGCTTCTAAAAGATTTATAAACTTTTGTGTGACAAGGAAAAAAAAACAAAAAAACCCTCCAAACAATTGTCACAGCTTCTAAAAGATTTATAAACTTTTGTATGACAAGGGGGAGAGGGAGTGTCTGCTTTGAAAAGTTTGGGGAGAAGTATTCCAAAGTTTCCTTTTTGTTTTTTTTTTTTTTTTTTTTTGTTTTGGTTTGTTTGTTTGTTTGGTTTTGTTTGTTTGTTTGTTTGTAAATGATAAAAGGGGAATGTTTGAAGCAGATCTCTTGATAGTGTGCTTGATGGGACAGATGGCACCAGGGCTGAAAGGCCTGCATCCTCACTCAGTGGAAATCTGCACTGATCTGTGTGGAGCCCTGAGAACTTAGCCCAGAGCACACTGCAGCTCTTGCAGGCTCAGAATCTTGTCATATTCAAAGGGAGTCTTTTCCATCGATTTTCACAGTGGCTGGAGTGGGGCCAGAAAAGCAGAGAATGAAGATGGGGCATGCTGGGAAAACAAAAGAGGGAGAAAAGTGATTTAATACTTAGAAAAAAAAATACTAAAATTCTCTTCCATATCACAGAATCCTGAAATAAATGCTGTTCAGCTCCAGAGGATCTTGAATAATATATCTTGGAGAAGTAAGTGCTGAGAAATAATGTTTCTGTAAAATAAGTTCTCTCAGAGAAAAGCCAAAGCTCCTGTATCTATTTCTTGAATTCTGGGAAGAGAAAATTGCTTCAATCTGACTGAACTGAATCTTCTGATGCCATGTTAGATTTCCAGAGCAAAAGGATTTGCTGGGGTGTGAATCAATATGGCAGAAATGTTGTAAGCAGAGCTAATCTAGTTTGAATTTCAACAACTGAAATAATGAGGGAGGAGAGGAAGCATGGATGCAGATTCTTAATTTGGCCTCCAAACCTGGCTTGACCTCAGCTTTGATCCTGAACCTGTATCTCATTTCAGCCTGTGCCACTGCCTCAGTCTCTGCAGCACCAAACTAGAAGATGTGGAAAGCCTGGTCTGTAGGAATTGGTGTGGTGGAGGAGGGTCTTGCTTTTACTTTCATGTGCTTGGTCCATGCTGCTGTTGCTATTTACTCCTCCCTGCTGTGCATGCACAGGGCTGCCCCTTGCTCTGTGTCTGGGGGACAGGATGAGGTGCAGGTGGCCTCTGGAACCCATGCTTGTGAGAGCCAGGTGAGGCCTCAGCTTGTCCCTCTCAGGAGTGGCATCCACTCTGCTGGGGGCAGCCCAAAGCACTCCACAGGCTTATAATTTGGACCTTGGTAACAAATAACACTACCTGGGCACCAGTGAGGCATTGCAGTGGCTGTTCTCTCTGGACAACGACAATGAAATTACAGATATAACGATGAATTCAGATTTTTTTTCCTGGTTTCTTCACTGGTAAAAATCAATATGCAACATAGAAAATGCTCCATCCAGCCATTACAGGAGATGATCAAAAAAGATGATAAAAAGAGTGATGTGATGCCTTTTTCACTTAAACTGAATTTGATATTACTCTCTTTTCTACAAAAGTGGGCAAGGATAGTTCTTCTGTCTTTGTAAACTCACCCACCAGGCACTGTCTTATCTGTGAGAAAACAATATTGAACAGGGAGTCTTTTAATAAATTATTGATTTTAAGAATTATTTTCAAATCTTTACAGTACTTGGTTCATATTTACTAAACAGGGCTATTACAATTTTAAAATTATTAAAGCATCTTGACTTCCTGCAGAGAAAGGATTGGTGAGTTATGATTCTGTCCCTTACTCAGTGGAAGGTGCAGACCAACAGTAATCATGATTTGCAGTGAGATTAGAGCCTATTTCTGTTATTCTTCATGTAAGTTATACATGAACCAGGAATGCTAAGCTTTCAGGCAGCATCATGTTTTCAGCAGTGCCTGTACTTTTAATTATATTAACAGAGCTGGCAGTGTGTCTGTGAAAGAGAGGGAGAGAGAGAGATGCTTAGTACAAGGGTTTCAATTAATCTGCAGTGCTGTTCCCCAAAGCTCTTCAGGTCAAGTGACTTTGCTCAAGGTCATGCAGTAAATTCTGTTTGGGATTAGAGCTTTGGATGTCCTTTTCCTTCCATTTTCTCTAATAGCTGAAGATAGTGTACCATATTTCATTCTATATTACATGCCTGCAGGGAGCTCATATTGGATTTTCTGAGACTAGTAGAATCCATCCTGTTGCCCATATTTTTATCATCATAAATGATACATCTTCTCAAGTGGGTGTAAAGTTTCACAAAGGCTTTGGGGCCTGAGCCCTCTGAAGTAAGGGGGAATTTTGTGAGAGTCCATTTTTCTGAGAGATGTCCAATGACTCCCCAAACCAATTTTTTTTCTCTCCAGATTTCCAGAGTTTCCGCCTGAATTTCAGTCTGGATTCCTGCCAGGGTATCTTGGCACTCCTGGATGTATCCTTGTCATGAGTGATACTTCTGACTCATATAATACTTTACCAGAGCATTATTTCTCAGGCCAGACTGGGTGTTACTGTGATTTCTTTACCACCAGGACACGGCCCTGCTTATTGAACTTCTCACCCTCCATAATAACAGTTCAGCTGTGACAGAATGGAGCTGGTTTGGGAAAGGGTTGATTCCTGCCACTTCTAAAATCAGCAGCCAGGTTTCCTTTGACTTTAGTGGGAGGAGGATCAAGTCTATAAATAGGCACATGGGCTAAGAAATCATTATCCTCCTATTATAATTGCAAGGATGTTAGAGTGGCTGCAAGTTTTTGGGTTGTTTGGGTTTTTGGTTTGGCTTTTTTTTTTCTTTTTTTCATTTTATAATATATGTAATGGGTGCTTTCTAATGTTTAAGATGTTCTGACTTTAATGCTCCCACTTAGCTGAATGCCACTGGCACACTGAGTATCCAGGAATTCAGAGTCCTGTGGAAGAGGCTGCTTTTCTATTTGGTATGACAGTAATTTCTATGCCCCCTTTCAATATCTCCCTGCTCACAATCACTTTGGTGTCACCTGTTGGGTTTTGAGTGGTTTGCTTTGTTTAAAAGTACTCCCTCATCCCACAGGAAGTTTTCCAGAAGAGAGACACCAAGAGATCAGGAAAGCTTGACCTTGTGGAACTGCACGCAGCTGTACAGGAGACAGGTGAGTCCACAGCATATTTTGGCAAGTCTCATCTTCTTGCTTGTGAAAGCTGAAGAAAAAGCAGAGGGGTGGGAAACATCTTGATAATTGTGTGTAGAGCTCAGGAGGAGTGGAAAACGTTACAGTTTGCATGGCCTTGGCTATGTCTTCTTCCTTCTTTAGCTGGGTCAACACGTCTGAAAATTATTTTGCCATGGGACAGGCTGCCCACTCTTTTCTCAGTGTGGTCTCACACTGAGAGTTGTCTGAAACAGAAGTGTCTGCCTGTTTCACACCCAGTTTTTAAATCCCTTCCTGTGTGTTGCTAATTGAATTCTAAAAGATGTTGTGGGGATGCAGGAGGCCAGATCTAGCTCCTATTAAATTGCTGCCTCTGCTGAAAACGACAGCTCAGGGACCAAACCTGGAAGTGTGGGACTTACCTGGAGGCTGTATTGTTGCTAGACTTCACTAATGCACTGTCTGAGGCTTGATCTAGAAATGGAAGATGATCCATATGGGTCCAAATACCGGACTGAGCTCTGCTGCTATTACTGAGCGTTGTGTGGGGGCTGGAGCTCAGTCTTGTAGCTTCCTTTGCATGTTTACACCTTAAATATCATTCCTCTTTTTGGTGCATGTTCACCCAGTTCATCTGAGTCAGTGAAAGCACAGTGAGAAACCCAGGCAGACCTCTGCTAAAGCAAACTAAAATCCCAGGCCATGAATAGAGAATGCTTTTGTTCCTTGCAATTGCTGCTGCTGCTTGACATTGGGACTGATTCTTTCTGTATGAGCTTCCTCTGGATTTTCTTTTTCATCTCCTTTCCTACCCTCTTGGGAATATTGCTCTTAAACACAGCTGCTGCTATTGCCCTCATATCCCATGAGCAAAAGAGGCCTATTTGTATTTTATTTGAACTCTGGAAGGACTGTAAGTATAGGGGAGCAGACCCGAACCCTTTTAAATTTGGAGAAGGTCTATTCATGTAGAGATCTCATTTGGGCTGGCTAATATTTGTTTATCTTAGGCCAGGCTTGAAAAACAGAGCTGTTGGAGAAGGGATGAAGACCACTCAGTCGTGCCATCTAATTCTGTGTTACTTTTTCCCCCCCCCATTTTATGTAGGCATTTCACTCAGCAATGAAGTCTGTAATTTGATGGCAATCAGATATGGTGACCCTGACTTACAGATCAGTTTTGAGAGCTTTGTTTGCTTCATGCTTCGAGTGGAGATCATGGGAGGTGAGGCTGGTGGAGATCATGGGAGGTGAGGCTGGTGCTCCGTGTCTGGCCAGGCAAGCTGGGCTGCCAGCTGAGCCATGGCCCCTCTGATGCTGTTCCCACTGGCAGCGGCAAAATTGCAGGACTGGATTTCTGAATAAAGCAAAAGTAATCAGTTTAAAGCAAGGGACAGATACAGGGGAAGCCAAGCTCTCTCTTTACCTTCCCATCAGTCCCTTCCTACAGACATCCAAGCTGTCATATCAGAGAGTGGTTAAGCTCTCTGCACATTTGCACCGGCCTTCTATAAGAAGAGGTAGGCAAATTAAAGACAAAAACTACTTGTTTTCCATGAAGAAGACAACCTTGAAATACACCTTTTCCAGGAAGAAGAAAGCTTTGAAATATGTCTTTGTGGACTGCAGTTTGATGATGAGAGAACTGATACTCAGACCATGCTGCAGACACTTAGCACATGTCTCATAATTGTAGTGGGTAAGGTTGGGATGACCAGCATTTTGGGGTTTTACAGATGGATGGGCAGACAGTAACAGGCCTGACTTTATTTAGCTCCTCCCAGTGTTCCAGCCTTCAGGGATCTCCCAGGGACAGAAAAGAGAAGCTCTTGAGAATAGCCTACAAACTCTGCCTTTGGGGTTTTTCCTGAGACAGTGCCTTGGCTGTGGTGATCTCTTGGCTGCCAAGTTAACACTCCTCATTTGCTTCTTTTGCAGAGGCCTTTCGCAACTTAACACAAGATGGCAAAGGGATATACCTCCGGGAGTCTGAGGTAAAGCCCATCCCCTCCCTGTCAGGTGCAGGCCCCTTTGCTGCATGTGGCACTTCATGGTTTATTCTGTAGCCGTAGAAATGTTATCTTTAACTGACCAGGGCAGGTTACAAACAACAAGGAGGTTCAAGCTTCTAAGTCTTCTACCTTATTATGGCTTCTATTTCTTCTGGAGGCAGAGTATCTTCAAAGCCCATAGTCCAGTCTAGGTGTGAATATGGTAGTGCTTTTACAGGGATGGATTATTTCAACCCCCTTTCCATATTATTTTCAGTGGATGATGATGACACTTTATTCCTGAAGCAAGGCTGTCGAGGAGGAGACAACCAGACCTGTACCAGGATGAGGAACGCCGCCTTGTTTCAACTTTTTACTTCATATGAAAAGTCTTCCTCAAGCAGACTTAACATGATAACCACAGACTTTGTGAACTGAAGTTTTACTAATTAATGTATTTATTTTGAGTCCTATTTCACTTCAGACAACCCTACTAAGGAGAGACCGTTGGATGCCAATTACCACAAGTGCGCAGTGTGACCCCTGGAGCATGGTGGCTGAGTTTTTGGGGTCACCTACTTCATGCTGATGTAATGCTTCTGTTATAGGCACGCATTGTGGCAGTGCCCAGAGGCTGTGCTTGGTGGTGGGGCTCTTGAATCTGGCAGGGAAAAGGCCCCTGTCCTGAGTAGCTTGTCACCTGATAGAGGGATCACAGTTCTGTAGCTGATAGAGAGCTGGAATCTGTGGGTTTCTGAGAAAGAAGGGGTGGAGCTCACAGAGTGAATGAACACTCTTCCCTAACCCTGACTTGGAAAGTGATTTGCAAGCATTCAAACCATCTCTTTTGCTTTTATAAGTTAACATAGCCCTATTCAAGTGGCCCTATTTTGATGTGACCAAGTGATGAGCTGAGCCTCCGGCTGTTTGTTGTGTGATGATTGTGTATTTATTTCAGAAAGGCAGTGAGTTTTCTCTGCAGATTGAAAAGTACAGTACACTGAAAAGTAAACTGATCCCATATTAAGAGACTAGCAGGGAATGAATGTTCTCAGTAGGGTGATACAGGAGCTGTCTGATAAAATATTTGGATATTTATTTTCTATAGGATGTGTGTGTGTGTACTTCTAAAGGATGCAGGTAAATGTGGGTTGTAGCTAATTAAATAGTACAACCCAGGTGCGTGGCTGTGAGCAGCGTTAGAGAACATGGTATAAGTGGGACTATTCACATCAAAATCCATGAGAGAGTTACATGATGCATCACTCTGTAGGATCCTTTTCCACTTTTTTACCATTCATTTATTTGGGCTGGAAATTTCCACGCTAAGTGACTGTTACAGGTTGCTGCTTTGATTTTTTTTCTTTTTTTTTTTTTCCCCCTTTTTTTGCATTCCTGCAGACAGCTCAATTGAGGCTCTTTTACAGTGCACAGCCTAGTCTGAGTCTGGGTGCTAAATGAAACAGAGCTCCAATGGGAATGAACATATAATGAAACATTGCACTCTAATACCTTTGTAGGAAGGAGTTATATTAAGCTTGCTTAGGCAGCCTTCCCTCTGGCTTTTGGTGACTTTTAGGTCCTTAATCTCATAAATATTTTTTCAGAGTGCATGTGATATTCAGGAATGAGTTGGACTGTGGATAAGAAAGTGAACATGGGCATGAGTGAGCTCAGGGATGTGCTTACCACTGCACTGAGGCCTGAGCAATAGCATAAGCATATTTATAGAGGAACTCCTTTGCATATAAGTGTTCCCAGTCAGGAGGCATTAAGCAGTAAAAACAACAGCATGCACTTTATTCCCCAGAACAGTCTGTTTCTAAGCAATATCATTTTCATCCTGTTTTTTATGAGAAAACTGTTAGAACCAGATAAATAGATGGCTGTGTTGGTACTTGTTTATTACAGATGATATATCTATCATCTATTGGGAGCGACCTACTGGGGAGTCACAGGGTTCAGACTGTGGAGCAGAGCAGGTTGGAGGGAGCAGGGACACCCAGAGCCCCTGGAGCAGCCGAGGGCTCCGTGTCCTACTGGGATCCCAGAGAGGCTCCGTGTCCTGCTGGGCTCCCAGAGAGGCTCCATCAGCAGCTCTCTTCTCGATGCACGTCTCTGTTTCCTTTTGTGACTCGCAGCTGAGCATGATGGTGCAAACTAAATTAGCCTGATTTAATTTGCACTCAACTCAGCAGGGGATGTTATAAACACTGATTTACTGTGTGCAGGAGCAGCGTTGGAGGAACCAAAAGCGTTGGTTGAGGGAGCGTAGGTCCCGCTTTTCTCAGCATGATCTGGAAAGGATGGTCCCTGGCACCCGTGGGAGTGTCCAGGGGGATCTGTGTGAGTGCAGTGTTCACAGCAGGCTCTGTTGGACACGATGGGAGGGAAATCTCTCAGTCCCAACTGTGTTCGTTGCACATTTGGGGCTGGGAGTGTGCTGGACGTAGCTCTGCCACAGGCTGTGTGCAAAACTGGTGCAGGACACCCAGTTTCAAATTGCAGTTCATTTTAATGTTGTACACATTGTTTTTTCTATCAGATTTTGTACTTATTTACTTCACACCTCTTTAATGCAGAGAAATGTAATTGCAGGGAGATTATTTTGCTATTGATTACTTGATCCAGGAAAGAAACAGAATTCATCCATGCCATGAATCACTAAGCATTTGCAGCAATAAACTTTATTGAGCCATGTGACTTGCTGTTACAGAATTGTAAAAGAATCCTTTACTGGAATGATTATACCAAACCATGTACAATTCAAACTGAATTATCTGGCTCACAATAAAATGTTTTTGGCAAGGGCACCTACTCGGACACTGTGAAGCTTTTATATTGCTAACAGAATAATGTTTTCTGGGCAATTCTGAAGATATATTACTCCTCATTTACAATGTGCATTGTGAAAAAAATGGTCTGAAATGCTGCTGAAGGATGCATTCGTTTGTAACCACAGCATTTACAGGGATGCTGAGCTTTGCAGTGGGTGGTATTGCTCTAGCAGAAATGAAAGAAAAGTGGGACTGTGGCTTGAGACTAGTATTGCTAATAAAAGTCCTTTTTGAAAAAGGCAGGTGCAAGAATAGCAAATAATGTCTGGTGTGGGAAGAAGAGATGGATGGTGAGGTATATTGTAACAATAAGGCTGAGATGAAATTGAAAGGAACTAATCAACCCTTTGCAAACAAAGTCTTCAGCTAGAGCTTATTGCTGCAAACACACACCCCTGAAGTATTTCATGTTTCCTGGATATAGCTGGTGTGCATGTTGAGGGTGCAGTTGGGGTACAGCAGACACCAGTCAGCCTCACTGCTCACAGGCATTCTGCATGGTCAAGGCTTCTATCTAGATGGCAACAGGACAGGCTCTACTCCCAAGCCTAACAGGACTCCAAAAGATTTAAGATTTACAGGAATGACAAGCAAAGCTGGAGAGGTCGTGGCTACCGTGAAGAGCTGTGGTTTTAGGCAAAAAGGGGAAGAGCTGTCCTCTGGGAACAACTAACTACAAGGCAAATCCCCCCAAGGTCATGGGCTCTTGCCCTTAGGCAGCTAGGGATGACCACCCTAGAGATACCAAGCTGGCCCAGGTTTGAGATAGGCAGAAATACTCAATCTGTGTGTTTCTTTCTGGGTAATCAATTAAATGCTGTTGGGACACTGCAGTGTAATTCTCTGTCTGAGGTCACATCTCACCTTTTACCCATTTTACAGTGGGGCCACCAGGACTTCTGCCTTACCTAAAAGCACATTGCAGTCCTTTGCTAAGAGGCATTCTATTCATGCAAATGCACTATCATAGCTTTCCAAGCTGTGTCAGCAGACTTTGATCACACCACAAGATGCTCTGCATGGAATGAATAATGGTGCTTTGGTTTTGATTATTACGCAGTACATGTAATCCTAACTCCGTGACCCACACATGGAGCCCTAAAGGGCAAGTTGTCATTGGACTGGCACCATAAAAATTAGAAATTTTGAAGCTTTTGGAAGGAAAAGTCTTTTTCCAGGGGCAGATGGTGTCTGAAAACTGTCCACTGAGCAGAGAGGGTGCAAAGTGTCCCACTAGAGCAGACCTTTGTACAGGGCAGTGATGGGAGTGAAGAGACAACATGGGGACATGGAGTCAAAGCCACTGCTAAATCCAAGTATCCACCAGTCCTCAGTCACCCACTCTCCAGTTCTACAACCCCACCAGGAGACTCAATTCTGACAATGGGATTCCAAAATTTGCAAACCTAAGGTCTTTTTTTATTTCCTCTGTGAGCTGTTCAGGTCAATGTTTCATGGAAGGCTGTGGAGACTTTTCTGCTAAAGTTAGTCCTGGTAGACTCTGGTTGAATGCAAACCTGTGCTCCAGTGTGGAAGAGGGTGAAAAGGTGGAGTGTGAATGATGTTTTCATCATTATTCAGAAAATTGAAGGGCAAAACTCCCCTTTGTTATTATTTGCAGTGCCAAGGGGAGAAAGATCATGTTCCCGGGGTGCTGGCTGCTATGCGACACAAGAGCAGGACTTGCTGTTTACTTAGAAAATGAGTTCTTCTGCAGTTCCCTGGGGGAGTGATCTGTATTCAGCCTGGGGCTCTTAAGAGATAAGATTTGACCCACCTCAGCCTCCTGAGATCCTCCTCCTTTTGCATACCACAGCATGGCTGCTCTGTAATCCTCTTACTTCTGGGATCTGGATTTTTCCCATAAACCACACTTCATTCTTGTTGGCATCCAGGAGCTCTAATTATGACCCCATCCCCAAGGTTTGGGGCTTGGCAAGAAGCCAGTGATCTCTGAGTAGTTCTTTTGCACCTCTCTCTGCACATACACCCCCACATATTCCTGTGAACCTCATGTCACCTTCCTCAAAAACTGTTGCAATGCTGTGGTGAAAATGAAGACGAAAAAAATTTTTTCCTCCCCTGCTCAGGGAGCAGCTCCTAGCAGAATGAAATGCTAACGAGTGCCTTTGCCTTTCCTTCCTGCTGTGTCTTACACTGAATTAGACCTGAAAAGCAGTATCACCAAGCTTGAAGTTCAATTTATCAGTGCAGTCAGGATTGATTTGTTACACTACCTATTCTGGGGAAATGAATGTCTCCATCGCGCTCCCTTCCAGGGCAGGCAGACCTTTGTTTTGCTCACATCAGCCATGTAATGTAGGAAGCTGACATTCCACAGATAAAGGAAAAAACCTACAAAATCCTGACTAATTCTACCCAGCCTGGCAGTGCCAGAGAGTGATGCCACTTGCGAAGGACACGCTTGGCATTGTGGTGGCTGCAGATACCAGGCAGAAGTGCTCTCTACCTGGGCTTATCTGCTACTTTTTTGTTATTGAATAAGTGTTTAATGCCGTAAGTGTCCTAGAAAATTATTCTTGGGTGAATTACATGTCCCCATTATCACTATTAATGTTATAGCTGGACCATTGTGTTGATCCTTGGAACTCAAATTCACAGTAAGAGGTTGAAAACGAACTTGGTTTTTGTACAAATTTTCAGCTGCTGTGTGAGACAGCTACTCAGACAGCTTTGC